TTAAGGAATTCACATGAAAATTGCAACTAGCACTTTCACAGCTGAATGAAAGTAGGCAAGCTTTGCATGGCTTTGTAAGAAACATTCCATGCAGCAGTTCTCAGAAATGAGCCCCTTACACTCACCATACTCTAATATGCCAGATGACTTTTTCTTTAAACTGCTACTTAAAATCTCTCTTCCTTACTCACTCTCTCTGGATCTTTGGGCAACAAACTTTTATTCCCCCAAAGTTTCTTTCCCTGTTTTAGGACTAAGGGGTTCTCTGATCATGGTTATGCACCATCTGTCATTATCTACAAGGACTAAAATGCCAAGGATGGCCTTTGGGTGTCAGCTCTGCCCCTCTGAACAGGGTGTTACAGGATGTCTCATTCAGCATTTGCAGTCACAGGAGAGGGGAGATTCTTTTATTCAGAGCAGGGAATAGCCTCCACAGCTGCAGAGCACAGGAGGCCCAGGGAACTTCCTAAGACCAGCAGCTGTGGAAGCAAATTTTGGCTGGATTGGTCCATTATTGTTGATGCACATAAAGCCACAAAATTAGTGTCAGGAAATTGTGCTCATGCTTATTTTTCATATTAGGTATGCAACTGTGTTAAACCTTGCTTTGATGTTATGTTCAGCATTGTTAGTACTAATAAAAAGTTATGCTAGCTCTTCCAGTCAAGTCATATTTTAATTAACACTCAGCCCTGCCACCACCTCCCTTTTCATCTAAGGCAGCCCATCAATGCAGCAATCATGACTTGAAAAAGTTGTCACAAGCCTGATGTTAAACTAAGTCAGCATCTCTTCTTTCATACTGCAGTATGCATGAAGTTAGGAACATTCATTTTTTACTCTGTGACTTAAACACCAATTATTTACAATCCCAAAAAACCCAGCAGTATCACTGTGTGCCCAATCTTTTTGCAGAAGTTCATTTCTTAGAAGTTTCCTAGGAGACCTATGTGAAGACAATGAAAACTAACCCAGTGTTCAGCACTACACTTTATTTAGTACTTCTGGCTCTGTCATTATGCACAACCCTGAAGATGGGGAGATTTCCTGTCACTCTGCTGCCAAATTGCTTGAGCCTTTATGTAAACTCTGAGCTAACTCATTAATTTTGCACTTTGATTTCAATCCCTGTAGCACAGAGACAACGCTTGCCTAACTTTGCACAGGTTATATCATGACCCTCTGATATTCTCAGATGCAAATTCACAATATAATTAACAATACAGTAACCTCAGCAAGGGCTAGGAAGGCATTTCTGCACAACCTTCACGCAGATACTAAACACATTTTTTCTGTTTTCTTCCAGTTCCAGTCTGAGGTGAAGTGGCAAAGACTGTCCCCTCCAAATCTAATGTTCTGCAAAGCAGCAGCAGCAGATTCAGCATTCCCTACTTCACGCCCTGCAGAGCAAGCCAAAACCTAAGAAACAGACTTGCTCAACAGCTGAACAACGGAGGCAGAAACAGATCCATTCAGAAAGGAGAGCCAAAGGAGTCAGAGAGCCAAAGCCACCAGCTTCCTCCTGCTGGCTATGCGAGTAAGAAAGAACCCCAGAACAATGGAGAGAGCAGAACAGCATTACACTGGGGTCATTTGGTTTAGTTCCCGAATTGCTGCTAACAGATGCCTTGAGGGAAAATTTGCTGTGTGTTGCTGCTGCCTCATCACCCTGGAGCCATGTACCCCATGCTCAGTTTGGCAAAGTACTTCTCCTTGTCTGCTTCATCTACCCAGGCTGAGATCCAGACATCAATGGGCCCATGTGGGGGGCCCAAACTCCACTGGCTCCCCTGTGTTTTGGATCCATCCCTAGAACTAGTAATTATTCCTTTGGCAGTGTTGGCCTGCCAGAGAGCATCTCCCAACCCACTCCAGTGGGGTCATGAAAAAAGTGCAATTAAGAAAAGGTTTGATACAGAATGGATCAACTGACAAGCAGAAGATGATCAAAGTCCATTTAATAAGGCCAGGAATGGGGGATTTTGAGGTGGGAGAGGTCACTAAAGAACACCAAAAGGAACAGATCATGGGAAAGGAGTGTGGGGAACAAATATAAAGGGAATAGTATGACATAGTGGCCCCCAACCTACAGACGGAAGGCAACACACAGTAAAGTTACATGTGACACAGGAAATTAAAAGGTTCTGAAGATGGCATGGAAAACAAATTACAATGTTGCTAAGAGTGTGATAATTGCAAGTGTTGTTGACAATAACACAGGTTGGGGAGCACAGCTCTTTATCTCCCTTCACAAAGTTAAAATCATTCCACCCGACTTCCCTCCAAATTTGGGGTGAGGGGGTAGACTGCAGGAGTGTGTGGAAATAAGCATCCCTGGCTAGAGAAGTTTGGCTCTGGAGCTGGCCAGTTCTAGCTGGTTACAGCATGTGTAGGCACACTCTGCAGTCAAGATAAAACAGCCACAGCCTATTTTCCTAGAGACAAGCAAATACCACACAAAATGTCCCCAGCACTGCTTGTGGCTGAATCGGCCTCTAATTCTTAGTGCTGCTCATTATAGTGCTCTTGCAAATAAGATGGTGACAGACATGGTAAAGTGGCCAATGCTGCTTTCTGGACCAATCCTGTCCTAGAGTATGATCTTAACTTCCAAAAGTACAACTCTGCCACACTTGACAAGTCCCCAGTATACCACAAAAAAAAAAAAAAAAAAAAAAAAAAAAAAAAAAAAAAAAAAAAAAAAAAAAAAAAAAAAAAAAAAAAAAAACCACCAAAAAAACCCCTTAAAGATTCCTGCTGGAGATCAGATGAAGGAAAAGACCCCTCCTGTGAGAAACAGAAGATAATGAAATTTCTCCACTTCTAACCAAATAAACACTGGATTGTTTATCTTCTTGTCCGCATTTCATGTACATGGAGAATTTGAAATATTTCTGTTTATTTTATAATATGCAGCAAAATTAATATTCCTTACACACTGAAATAAACACCCTTTTTCTCTCCCTGCCATACACACACAAAATTCTACACACAATAAACTTCCTTCCACATCCTTCCCTTGTGGTTGTGAGCTCCTCTGGGGCTGACAACTCTCAGCAGATCCAACAGAACACTTGCCATTGCTTTCAGAGTACGATTGCACCCTTTTCTTATAGCAGGCAGAGAGTTAATTGAACAGAGTTGAAGATGTATTGTAGGAGACAGGAGTAAATCCAATTATATGAAAACATTCCCACGGTTTTGATTTACTTCACAGAAAGAAGCAAAATATTAGACATCTTATATTTCCTCACATTTGCCTGGAGGGCAAATGTGAGGTAAATGTTCAGAAAATTCTAAAAATGTAGCAATAAGCCCCTTCTTAGTTCTCTATAAAAAAAATGCATTACTGAGAACACAATATTATTCTAAGATGCTAAACAGAAGTCCCTAAACCCATTTCAGAAGGAAATAGTTTCCACTGGTTTAGATAGGATACTCCTTTGAATCTTTTGAATCTGAAATTGTGAACTAATAAAAATTCTAAACGGCTCTCAAAGACGTGAGCTGGGCAAATTTGTAGTGCTGCTGACATCTACTGAGAGAAATCCGAATTGCACATATCTGCAAAGGGATGAGCCGCCCTTGGTTGTTGTCTGCTCTTCTAGTTTTCAGATGCATTTCATGCCTGCTTGCATATTTATTAATTATCTTGTATCAACACTCACTTGCTTAATTTAAGATCAGTGAGTCAACAGATACTCTATAGGAAACGCCAGGGAAATAATAAAAGGGGCCTTCAGGAGAGGGCTGTATCCCTTACACAAATGCTGCAGACTCGTTGTTACAGGTGCCAGTCTGAAGGCTCCGATTGACACACAGCATCCGATATATCTGGATGCACTTCCAGCTCATACTGACTGCACCTAAAACCCTCAGACTGGGGCAGCTGAAGCCAAAATCCATATAGTACAAAACACCAGATCTAAGAAATTGTGTTCTCAAAAGTAATACTGAAAATATAGTATAATTCTTTTCCTATAGGAAATTAATCATTTTGCTAAACTATGGCAGGAATAAAAATATCACCAGTATGATAACTCTACTCAAAAAAATCAGAAATACTTTCTGATATGTGTCTGTTGTCACAGTTACATATGGCAGTGACACTATTCAGGCAATTCAAGAAAAAACTTTGCTGGTATCTTGTGCATTATAAAATGTATTCTTTCTCCATGCTGAACAAAGACTTCATAGCTATCCATAGAGCCACAGAAAAATAACCACTACTACAGGTCTCATGTCTAGGGATTTCCTCCTACAACAGGAAAGGTATGTCTACCTCAGTTTGAGTAACAGCAGTTTAGGGGTTGCAGCAGAAGAAACAACATAAAATTTTAATAAAGTTGGACCAAGTCAGGGTAATAATGATTGAGGGCATCTGTTTCTCCACTTCTGGGGCAATTTTCTCAGCACTGATGTTACACTGAACTTGCAGGATTATAAATAAAAACTAATTTGGCAAATAAATATTTGTAACACAAGGCAACACGATAAAGCAGCATAATTAATTCTGTTCCTACAAGAGAATCCTTCACAGTCAAAATTAAATATCACATTACAAGATTTGATCTAAGTTGTTATGAAATGCCCCTGTGACCTTGACAGGGCCAGGATCTTGGTGCCTGCAAGACATTTCACAGTTATTTTCTGCAGATTCTGAAGCAGATATAAACATGAGACCTTTGGCTCATGCATCTGTTCTATAAATTATCTCCATTGCTAATTTTTGGTCACAAGGACTAAATTCTAACTTTTTTAGGTGACTAGGTCCAATCAATAAAGTTGACATACACTCAGCTCCCACTTAGTTCTGCTCTGAAAATCACACATAGGTTAAAAACTGCAGCACATGGTTGGAAGCCCTCTCCTGACTGCTTTCTCACCAAAGGATCTATGCCTCAATTATCACCTTGAATTTGTCTTCATACCTAAAGTTTGGTTTCTACATACATTCTGACATGCCACAGGGGAGGACTACACAGCTCAGCACTTACCAGCAGGATCCATGCAGTCATCACTAGTGTCTGATCCAGAATACACTCCCATTGCTCACACTGGCCTCCCCAGAAAAAGTAGCTGCAGCCTTGTCTGTCTTCCTAGAGTAGGAAAAGGTGGGTTAGGACTGCTTCTCCACCAAAGTAATGCTTTGAAGAGCAACTGGAACTTGATCTTTCTCTTCAACATGTCAGATAGGTTTGAACCCATGTTCTCCCTCTCCCCAAGGTTTACTAGACTGGGTAACAGCTTTCCCTGAGGGATCAGCCCGCACCAGTACAGGACAGTTTGTGGGCCCCTGGCTAATGAATCTTTCTGAGACATTCAACAAACAGACTTGAAGGGAACAGGCTCTGCAATAAAAGGATTTAATCCCAGCTGAATTCTACAGACACCTAATCATTTGATGGTGTGGTTTCAGAGAAATGACAGGCACTTAGCTTCTGAAAAGAAATACCCAGGAACCTTATTTCCTTTCAGATTGCTAATCCAGAATACCCAGAGGTATTTCCTTACTGTTTCTCCTTTTGCTTTCTGATGTTACCTGGACTTTACATGGATCTTTCAGAAGGGGCTTCTCACATATTTTATAAGAAGCCCTAGCACTTAACTCATAGCTGTGCCTTTCACTCAACTCTAAAAACTCTAAACTGCACAGCACAGTGCTCAACACTGTTACATCTGTATCTCAGAAAACCCCTTAATGAAATGCCATTTATACACTCATATAAATGCACTTACAGTGGGCATTTAGGAGGGTTAAGGATCTAGTGAAGCAAAATCCCACGACCTGGTACTTGGATGGAGTTCTAACACACTGTTATGTTTAAAAATACACAGATCAGAAATAAAGATGAGGGAGAAGACATATTTGAACAACTGTTCCTGAACAGAAATAATTTCCTTATTCTATTATAAATCTATTTCTGATTATCTAAAAAGAATGTTGAAACACATTACTTTCTAGAAAAAACTTGGTTCCAAAGATGAATCTCTGAAAAGGCTCGTTCTGGCTTGCACTCATTGAAAACCAAGGCACTCAATATCAACATTCTGGCAATTCTAATAACAAAGACTGCCAAAAATATGTTGTCTATCAAACATACACGGAAGAAAGATGTTAGAATATTAAGAACAGATGTCACAGATATCTTTGCAAATACTCATGCTCCCCCAAGTACTCTGCAAGGCAATATGTACAAAACCTCACTGAAAGATTAAATTAATGCATCTTGTTCAAATGCTTCCAAGTGTCATATATGTATGTAAACTTACTTATGTATGTAAACTTATAAAATATGTACCTTTAAAGCTGTTAGGAAGGAGGGTTGTATCAAAATTTGATAATCAAATTAAGATACTTAATTTAATAAGTATCTTAAAACTTGAGCTTTAACAGGTCAATAATACACTAAAGACTACTTTTTATAGTATGTTATTTAAACCATTTTGTTGTGTGTGTGCAAGGCTTTCCAGTTATTGAATATTAATTTATTGACATTTCAATTATTATTCTACTGAGAAATAAAGTTTACCAAAAAACTCCTTTTAGAAAAACATCTAAACAACGTAATGAAAGGAATCTTTACATAAGAATATCTTGTCATTTAAAATTAAAAGGCCACTTAGAAAACCAAAGTATGTTAAGAGTTCATTTGATCAGGCACAGAACATGCTTTCTTCCTCTGCTGTATTTATTTTCAGTATTAACAATTCTAAACAGTAAAAATCTAGCAAATTTCCAAACAGAAAATCATGGGAATTGGCTGATTTATCTATTTGTAAACATAAAAAGCACTGGATTCTTTATAACTGACAGAATTAAGAAAATATTTTACCTTTAGGGCTGATGTTCCAGATTTCAGACATAAAACTCACCTTATACAACTGAAGCCAAGATTTTAAGGTATGATTGTTTCAGGTGATAGAGTGTTAAAGAAAAACAAACAAACGACATACCAGACCCAAAACTCTATTGAATATTTTGAAGTTCACAATAAAATAATGGGCAGTGACACCATTGTGTTTCTAATGGGATGACATTTTCAAGTAACAGCCAAGGAACCAGAGCACAGCAGTTTGAACTAATGATTCTGACGTTTTAGATATTCCTACTGAATCAGAATTTTAGTAAGAAGAGGATCATGGTTCTCTAAGATAGGCCACCAGAGACATGCAAAGCCAAAACAGACTTGTCTTTGTTTTAAGTTTAAACATATCTCCATGCTAAACTCAACTGAAGATTTTGTGAGGCAAAAACTTTGCTCTTTGATGTTAAAATGACTGCACTGAACTCAGAAATGTCACATTGTGGATGATGTAAGAGTAACGTGATAACATTACAGTAAGACAATACACTCCGAAAATGTAATAGTTGCAACAACGCTGGCATTTTCTGTCCTTTAAATTTCTTAAAGCAGAGCTCATTCCTTCTCCCGGTGCACTGCTGGCAGGACAATGGCAGCGCAGCAGCGGCGCTCGGCGCCGGGCCGCGGAGCCGCGGAGCCCGCAGCGCAGCCCGCAGCGCAGCCCGGGGAAACGCGGGCTCCTCCCGCGGCACCTGCGAGCCCTCCACGGCACACGGCACTCGAGCCCTCTTCTCCAGAGCACGCATTCACACCCTTTATCCAACCACGCTCTAAAACACGATTTCTTTCTTAAAATCACCCCCTTACAATTAACAGATGTGAAGGCAAACTTGGCACGTACAGACGGCTCAATTTTTTCCCCCCCCCCCCTTTGAATAACCTGGTTATATCCAGTTTCCGCAGCAATTGTAAGAATGTTTACATCGCGGGGTGTTGTTTTTTGTGGGTTGTTTGGTTTTTTTTCCATTTCCCTCTTTTAATAACAGAAAGCAGGCGCGCGGCTCGGTGCCCTCAGGAGCCGCGCGGAGGAGGCGCTGCCGGCGCCGCGCGGCCGCGCAAGGGGCGCTGCGCGGGGTTACCGATTCTGCTCGTATCTGCACAGCCCCAGGGCCCCATTCCGCCCGCCCTGGCTGCGCTCCAGCCAGGCTGTCAGCCAGGGAGAATGCAATACCTCCAGGCTATGGCCCATTTGAAGTTTCTCCCCAGCTCGGGGGAGGCCCCGCCGTCCCTCCGCGCGGAGCGGCCGCGGGCGCGGTCACTGCGCCGCCCCTCACGAACAGCCCCGAGCCCGGCTGCTCCCCGCGGCCCCGCCCGGGCAGCGACCTGCGAGGCGCCGCTCTCGCTTCGCGATTCCCCTCTTTGGAAGCTCTGTAAAGGGGTCTGATAGTTAATTGAAGTATCATGAAAAAAATAGATATTTATTACATTATTATATCAGCTTGACTGAACATCATAAATCCACAGAAAATTGTGTTAGAGTTGGGGTTAAGCTGTTAGAAGCTACAAACAGGCCAGCTTTATTCCTCAAGCAATAGGAACAGGCAAGGTTGCATGTACCTGCATTGTCAATAAAAATATCAAAAGATATTTTCAAACCCTCTTAACATCCAAGCTTTATCATGGCTTGTTACTCTACTGACATGAGGTTACTCTGCCTAGGACAACACTGTTGTTAGCAGAGCTTCATTAACCAGGCAGAGCTTGGTGCTAATGAGATTCCATTGCTTCCATTGCCCTGTCAAGCCAGGCAGGGTTCTGGGGCACTGCCTGGTGCCACATGGATGCCTCGTGGCATTACACCAGGAGTGCATTAATTATACAAAACACTAGTTACAATTTTCAAACCCTAAAATAAGCCCCAAACAAGGTCATTTTTTTTGTGGGGAGGAAAAAAATTGGTTTCTCTCTACCTTAGGTTTTAAAATTATTATGGCAGCCTTGAAACATTGGCACAACAAAAGCCACTAAGCAGCTTTGTTTGTACGGCACAGCTCTGCAGTGGGGAACGGTGATCACAGAGGGGACTTCGACTCCTCAGACAGAAGCAAAATTGGGACTTTCCTGAGGACATGGCTCAATCAGACATCAGCTGGGTTTAAGCACCTAGTCCAACCACAAACGAAGCACTACTGGGCAGGTGAAACAAATAGCAACGCTGATTCAGACTGATCACACGAGTCTCAGTTGTTGCAGCTGTTCTGAAAGACACTTTCCTCCTGGCAGGCTATGTGCCACATAGAGTATTGTCCTTACACAGCTGGCAAAGAATCATAAAGCCAGCATAACCATCATTCTGGGACTGCTCCAGCTAAATAGAAAACAGAAGTTGTATATCCACATAGTATCCTGGTTTAACTAGTACTGTACTATACAGCTCCAGCATTAATAACAGTAAAACCATGACCTGGGAAAACATTTCCTGCTGCAGTGGCAGGCTGTAAGTGGGTCTCCTGGTGCTCCATGGGCTAGACATGGTCCTTGATCAAAGCCCATGTACAATTATTTAAATGTTATTTGATCCAGGGCAGCCCTATGACATATAGCACTCCTACAAACATCCTTTTACATTACTACCACAGATATCCATCTCACTGCACTGTACAGGGAACGGAGTATGGATTTCATACCAAGTTCTGTGATAAAGTGTAATCTGACTCTCATGTCTCCTCTACTCCACCAGTACAGCTATTTACTTAGACATCAATTTAGCAGGGAATATAAGTATAGGCTAGGTTTAAGAATGAGTGCCACACTGTCCTTCCTTACACATCTGGAAAAGGTGTTCTGGATTTTCATTCTAATCTCTACATCACCAATTATTAGAGCCTCCAAATTTTTTGGAGCTATCCTTTCTTACACACTAAAGCACAAAAAAAGAGCACACCAAGTCCTCTGGAGCATTTCCCTCCAAAGATGTGGCAGAGAGTTATGGACCACATACGCAAGTTAGACAGATGTGACACAGACTGAAATACAAACTGCTGCTCTCTCCAGACTTATGAAATTTTATCTCTCATCTCCCTGTTTTTAAAAGATAGGAAGAGTGCAGTTGGGGTGACTCTCCCACAGACCCATTCCACAAGTAAAAGCAGAGTCTGATCTCTGTGGAGAGGGAATACCTATTGTAGGAAGAAGTGTGTGATTCTTCATAAGACAGGCATAATGGATGAAATATAACATGGTATTTTGCCAATTACCTTTATTCTAAAAGCCAAACACAATTGATAACCATGAGAACTGGTTGCCAGATAGAGAACAGAGCTCTTCTCAACATCTGTCTACTATACCTGACCTGTACTCTTTTCTGCAGGAGGATTCTGATAACCTAATAACAATATATGCTCTTTGATGCTTTGGTTTCAGTTGTAGGGTTTGGTTGGGGTTTTTTGATTGACTGTTTGTTTTAAACAAAGTGCTATTTATAAAGGAAGTGAGAGCTTTACCATCTAATGAAATATTTACTTAACATTTTTTCTACATCTTGCTTTCTTTTCATTTTTCAAATTTCTCTGCATATAAGTATGTGGCACATGAGCACAAAAGTCAGCTTGTAATGTATGTACTTCTAGAAGTTTGTTATCCTTGGATCTCTACAAAACTTAATAATCATTTAGGAAATAAAAATACTGAAATAGAGAAATGAGTTAACATTTTAAATGTACATACATCAAGTGTCTCAACAGCCATTAAGTAAAAACCTATAAACATCCTTTACATACTACTGTGTGGTAGTTGAGTCAAACAAAGGGTCAAGATAGAGCTCGGGTTATTTTGCCTGTAGACAAAGCACAAAAAGAATGCACAAAGAGAATTTTCATCTGCTACAAATAATTTGAAACTAATTTTATTACCGTTTTTATCAACATTTTTCCTCCTTGGGAAAAAGTAATGTTGGAATGGGACAGAGCTGATAAGCAAAGCATTTACCCATACTGCCCCATCCTTTCAGCAAGTTCAGAAAACAAAACTGCACAAGGAAATCAGAACTGTCAATGTATTTCAGATTCAAGATCTGATGAGCAATTTCCCTTAAATTCCTGAGAGTTAAGGTATCAAAACCACACCCTCAGGCTTTAACCACAAGTACAACTGGAAAGAGTGGCTGCCCTGTAACAGAGGGGAATGCTGCAGTCACAGCATGGGCAGCACACACAAAGCAACATCCCCACATCCCAATTATCCATTTAGCTCTTCAGTGCAGAGCTCTTCCCTGCAGTCAGTGCTCTGGGAGCACCTGCAGATGAGAACTGAATGCTTTTCCATGGAGGATCATTCAACAGATAATGCCTCTGTTACAAGAGCTGCTTAATATTCACAACCTACATTTTCCCCTTCAATTTATCCATTCTGCTTCATTCTCTCTTTGCTCAAGTGCACTTCTCTGAGTAATAAACCTCTAAATAATTTGTCTTCCTCCTCTCTTTTCCTATAACAATGAATAAATTGCACTGTCTGAACTATAACACTACAAATTTCCAGTGCATAGGTTTAGCAATAAAGAATTAGATGTCCTAATAAATACAAGGATAAAACTAAGGAAAATTAATTACCAAGCTATAGATCAATGAGCAAGAGGTGAAACTGCCAAAGAGATGCTCTTATTACATTATCAGACTCAAGGCTGATTTATAGCTTTCACTGTGCTTCCTTATCCATCACTTTTATAGTATGTAGAAAGGGTTACAAAGCACAAATTGCCTTGTTTTAATTAACGGTGAAGTTTTGGATAGTATGGCTATCCTGATCTGAGTCTAGGTTACTTTTTCGTTTTCAAAATATGAAAGCAGAAAACATACTTTACTAATCTGAGAGAGCTGTGACAGAACCAAATACAATACTCTTGTCAGCCTACAACTCCCTGACATGCTTGCCTAGCATTTGCCCAGAAATGACAAGCTGTGGAGCAGCCCTGCTGAAAAGGCCTTGAGGGTCTTGGTAAAGAGCAAGCTGCTTGAGCCAGCAGTGTCCCTGTTCAGCCTGGAGAAGGAGAGACTTCAAGGGAATTGAACAGCATCCTCCAGTCAGGATGCCATAAGGACATCATCAAAACACAGAGCCAGGCACAAGCTGAAACAAGACAGGCTTTGTCCCTGGGCTCACAGGAGGACCAGCCATATTTGGGAACAGGCTACCCTGAGAGGTTGCATGGTCTCCTTCCTTGGAGTTTCCAAGACCAGTCTGGATTAAGGCTGTGAGCAATGTCACCCGGCCTCAGAACTGACTGCTTTGTGCAGGCTCCTAGCCAGGAGCTCTCCTGAGGTCCCTTCTAACCTGAACTGCCACATGAGCCCAGCCTGATGAAGGAACAACTTTGTGGCCAGCACAAGAGAGACTTTCTGAATTGTACTCACTCATGTCTGCCTCTCCCACCTCTGAAAGGGATGATGACCTCTAGGCCAGACTAACGCAGTAGTCCCCTAAAACTTTCTTAATCCAGTGGTAGCCAGTGACTCAATAACGTTGGCAGCCAGCTTACTACACTCGTGCTCCTGCTAGTGGCAGCCAGGGTAGGGAACTGCAGAAACGTGCTGATGATGACAGGCTGGACTGTGGGGAAGCCTAAATTAAACTGAAAGTAGAAATTGAAGATTACTAAATGCTGAGTACACCTCAGAAGAATTCCTCATTTTGTCCAGGGGCCCCAGCAACAAAGCTACAGATCATCTCAAAATAATAATTATTATTTTAAAAGCATGAATAGAGTAATTTTAATATAATGTGGAAATAACTCTTCAAACTCAGAGACATGATTCATTCCTCCTGAAGTAAGTGGTTTTGCAATTAGAGCCTGCAATAGAGGCTTTGCTAAAGAAAAACAAAAATTGAGCATGCTTTTGCCAGAGCCATTTACCCCTCACAGTTGTAATACTAGGATCAGATCTGGGCTGCAACCAGTGTTCCATTCAGCCTTGTAGCTTTATTACTACCTTTTAAAATACTTTGGTAGATATAAACATTTCTTCACTGTCTGTAAGGGATACCACATGCTTAGCACTATCACATTACCAAAAGTAA